CGGGCCTTCCAGGCCTCCTGTGCACCCGCCCCGGTGGCCCCGGAAGGCTGCTCAACCCCGCAGACCCCGCGGTGCTGGCTCGCCTACGCCGGCCTTGTAGGTACGAAGGCGGGAGCTGGGCATGGGCGGGGCTCTCCATGGGGCGGTGTCCGTCGGGGCATGACCCCGCCTCGTGGTCCCCACAGGTACCATCATCACCCCTAACTACGTGGACAACGTGAGCGCCCGCGTGGCCCCCTGGTGCGACTGCGCGGGCACCGGGAACCGGCGAGAAGAGTGCGAAGGCTTCCGGGGCCTTTTCACGAGGAACCTTTGCTTGGGTAAGGGGCCTTGCCGGAGCGGCCCGGGAATCTATCCATCCATCCGGTTGGCGCTTACTGTCGACTCCCAAGTTGCCTGGCCCCGTGGGAGCCCATTTGAGTTGCAAAGCTCTTTGAGGGGGTCACAAAGGCCGCTCTCTCCCTCAGCTGTCGCCTTGTCCTGTCCTTCGGGCAGTACGCACTCAGATGCCTCGAGACCAGATCCTAGACTTTACGTAGAATCCTAGGGTGGTGCTGGGACCCCTGCGGGCAGAGGGAGGAGATTGGTGTAGTGGGTGCGGTTGAAACATTTCTGGGGTCCTGGAATTGAACGCGGGAAGAGCTTTGGCCACTTAGGAGGTGCCTGGCCCCGCCCCATGACTCTACCTTTAGTCTTGGGTCTGGTTAGCTCAGTCGGTCCGCGCTGGACCTGGGAGTTAGGGGGCCTGAGTCGGTATAATTTCCCAGCCTGACTCTGTCCCAGAGGCAGTCCTTGCAAATGCCCTGTCCTCCCATCCTTGTGCATGGGGGCATGCCAGGGGCTTCACAGTTTGTCCCGGAGGAGCTGTGTTCTGTGCCAGGGGTCCTCACTTGTCCCACCTGGATTCTGCAGACAGGGCCATAGAGGCCTTTGAGAGCCAGTGGCCCCCATCCCTGCAGGACTCTCAAGACCTGCTGCAGGTAGGTGCAGGGCAGAGATCTGGAAATGTGACCATGTGACTCACCTGGGTTGGTGGTCCAGCCCAGGGTAGAGACAGGCTTCAAACCTCAAGCCCACAGCTCTGCTCCCTACCCTCAAGGTGCCCTCGTCAGGATGGTTTCTGGAGGGGAGCTGGTGTCTCTTCATGCTCCCAGCCCTGGCTCTCTGTCCCCTGCTCTGACAAGAACCACAGACAGCAGTCAAGAAACCGGGCCTCCAACCCTTCCTGCAGTTTCAGGGCCATGGCTGTGGCCCACAGTACCACTGCAAAGGGACAGGCTCGCCCTCCACATCAGCCCTGGTCTTCTCTCTGGCTTTCTTTTGCAGATGTGGACACCCCTGCCCCTGCCTCATGGAAGGGGCCGTGGGGGTGCCCTGGACTGCAAAGCCCTGCCTTCCCTCTCTGCCCCTTGCTCTATCGCCCTTCCTCTTTGCACCAGCCATGGGATCCTTGGGGTCTCCCAGAGGGCGGAGAAAGAGTGGGTACAGGGAGACCGTCACTTTGGATCTGACACTTCCTGGGGCGAGAGATGATTTAGGGAAATTTGATTCTGTCCATGAAATCTTTCTCCATCCCCCACCCCCCCCACCCCCCGGGTTCCCCGTACTGCCGGCCAAGCCCAGCCCAGCATCAGGGTTGGCTAGCTAATAAACCCCTGTGCACAGAAGCTGACCTTTCATTGCTGTGGTCTTTCCTGGGGTCTGGAGACCAGTCTGCCACAGGAACAGGACCTCAGAGAGCCCCACAGCCCTCTGGGCTCCAGCGCCTCTCTACAGGCTGCTGAGCAGAATCAGCTCTCAGGTCCTGGTGGCAGGAATTGTCACTGCTTGTCACTGTTGAGTTGATTCCAACTCACGGTGACTGGGAAGCCGCTATGTGCAGGGTGCAGAACTACTACTCTATTGGGTTTTCAGAGCTGTGATCGTCTGAAAGCAGCTTGCCAGCCCAGTTTTCTAAAGTCTCTGATTTGAACTGCTAACTTCTCAGCTAATAGTAGTTGTGTTGTCTTAACTAGCAATCTCTATAATAAAGACTCACTGCAATGGCTACTCAACTCACAGACGAAATTCATGATTAAAGGGTTTATTAAGGAAGTTCGCAGGTTGTAATACAAGTGAGAAATGCTCAGGATAGAGTTATTCATCAGGATGTGCTACAACATTTTTTTTTCAAGGCTGCCAATAGATGTCCAAAGGGCATACCATTCTGCTGTAAGTCTCAACCCGAAGGCATTTAGCTCAAGCTCTGTGGCTTTGCAAGCCCAGCTTCCTGAATCAAGTGCTCAGAGGCACTCTGCTCCAATAAGCCTCAGCCCAAGGGAAGTCTGCTCCACTTCTGTTGGTCACCACATCCAGCTTCCCTAGGTAAGGGCCCAGAGGCACCTCCACACTGTAAGCCAGGCTCCTGCACAAAAACATTCAGTTTGACCTGCTCTGTGGGTTGGGAAGTCCATCACTGTTCCTCCTGATTTTTGGTTGCTCCTGGGGTGGTGTAGCTGTCTTCTGGAGCTGACTTCAGGAGGTTCACTGGGCAGGTATCTCAGGTCCAGAGCATGCATTCCATTCCTGGCTCTTTCTGGCAATGAGATCCCTCTTCCTGCTTCTCAGGTGGCTGATTTTACGCATAGCAGGATGGCACTCCAGAGAATCCTATTTGCAATTCCAAACCAACCAACCAGACAACAAATCCAAACTCACTGCCATCGAATGGATTCTGACTAACTGTGACTTATGGAGAGGACAGACCTTCTCCTGTGGTTTATGGGACTAGAAAGCCTGGTCTTTCTCCTGAGAGCAGCTGTTGGTTTCTTTCTTTTTAAATTTTTTATCTTACTGGGGGCTCTTACAGCTCTTATCACAACCCATACATATATCCATTTTGTCAAACACAGCTTTACATATGTTGCCATCATCTTTCCCAAAGCATTTTCTTTCCACTTGAGCCCCTGGCATCAGCTCCTCATTCCCCACAGCCGTTGGTTTCTAACTGCTGACCTTGCCGTCAGCAACCCAGCGAGTAACCCTCTGGCAACAGGGCTCCTCTAGTCGAAATTCCTCACAGGTGAACCCTGTCAGTATCTTCCCCCGCCTTTTTACCAGGCCCACACAGGGAAATGGCACAAGGTGCGAGTTTGGGACTTTCACGAAAAGAACCACATTAAACCATTCACTACCCCTGCAGTAGTCTAATGCTGACCAGTTTGCCCTCCTCAGGGTCTCTTTCACTGGCTACTGGTATCTAGTCTTTCCTTCTTTATTAGTGCTCAGATTTAAAAAGAAGAATTCCAGCTTCCCTTGCAGCTATAGGTGGCACAATCCTGGCCAAGGAGTGGAAGCCACCATGAGGCTTCTAGGAAAGTTTTCTCAATAGGATGTTCTTGCCTGGAGCCGGTGGAGGGATTCAAGGAATTTAACAACTGGCTCCCTGCCCTAATGAACATTTTAAGTATTAAAAATATTATATACTGAAAGGTAGTTTATTCTTTCATACAGAAAATACTTAATAAGAACAATAAAAGAAGTACACAAAACTAGATGATAAGAGTTTTAAAATATTAATGAAAAAATATTAAATCATACCTGACCAAAAAAACCCCCAATAAAACTGTTATTTAAGGCATTTCCACGTTGCTTCTTGATTGGTGTCCTCACGTGCAGTATTCTTTGCTTTTGTCCAAGCATCATTGGCTGTGTGATTTATCGTTACCCATCTTTTCACTGTAGAAGTAGGATCTCATTACTTTTTTTTTTCTTAAAGAGGATCTCATTACTTGAGAGGTAGGCCAATTAGACAGCCATCATTGTGTTTGCTATATTAGAAACAGTTATGCGACTTCTTCTCTGAACTAATTATGTTCATCTTTGAAAACCCCCCTGTTGCTTCTGTTGAACTTACAGCAATTGCTCTGATGATATTTTGAGCTCTTTGAAGACTTTCAGGAGTTGCATAATTCACTCATGCTAGCTTGTGGGAATCTGGGCTGTAACACAAAGCTGAAAGCATGCCACCCCTCTGGTTGTTTGGCGTTTCCCCCGTTTATGTTATATGTTTGTTTACGGGAATAACAAACGCAAAGGAATAAAAGGTAACATTTCATCAAGTGTAACGAGTTTTATGGATTGAATCAATAAAGAGTACAAGCACAGTTCCATCTAAGGTCTTATGCCTTTGGACTATGAGTACTTTGAATACGCCGTGGCACAGATGAACATTACAAAAGAGTAAAGAATGTAAACTTGTGATTTCTACATTGGGCAGTTGCCACAGCCCGCCACCCATCTTAGAGAGAACCTTTATTACAAGTGCCATTGTGACAACTGGTTTGCTTAACTCAACAAAAAAAATGAGGTATCAGTTCTGCCGAACTAGTGAGAACTGGCCGAACCGCACCATCTCCATATTCTGGCCTCCAGCAGTGAGCAGCCTTATAACACCGTGGACTTGCTGCATGCCCAGACCGCCTCCCTGGCTCTTCATCACCCCAGAAAATGCGAGTTCCAACCCACGTTTCGGTTGCTGTAGCCAAACCCGGGCTCAGTGATCCAGCCCACAGCTAGGATGGTCCTTTTAGCCTCCACAGAGGGAGACAGCACCTTTCTCCCAGCATTCACCAACTGATCCCAGGCAGGGTGCTGAGGGGCCCAGCATGTACTTCTTTCTTCCTGTGACATTGTGGTGATCTCAGCTCAAGAGCATGACCTGGGGAGGGAGGGAATAGTAAAATTGGTCTACAGTGGTGGCTTCTCTTGCTTCAGTAATTCTCTCCAACCCCACCCCCCAGGCTTAATCAAATGAAGCCGCTTGGACACCAGGCAGTTTACAAAGGAAAAGATAAGTCTTTGTTGGTTGCAAGTCATAGTGGTCCCCATGCCAGGGTGAACATCTCCGCCTGGTAGGCCTGCGGTCTATATCCCTGTGACGATGCCTCTGCCACCTGTTGCCCACATTGATCACCCTCCAGACCCTCCCCAGCCCTCCCCCACCCCACCAGCCAGCAGGTGTCTGCGGTGAGGATGAGGCAGAAAGACAGATGCTGGAAGCATCTATGGATTTATTGGTGGAAACTTCATGGCTCATAAATGCCCGCCCTGGCTTGGAGCCCAATGTCTCTGGGTAAGGCTGATGTGGACACTAGCTCACTGCTCCCCCTACTACCCCCGACTCCACCCACCCCACGTGGGTTGAGCTGGGCCACCTCACAGAGCTGGCTCACCTTTGCAGAAAGTAGCATTTCCTGCAGGAAATGACAGGACGATGACAGTTCCTGCGTTAGAAGGACGGGGCTACTCACGACCTCAGGAGGAGGGTCCCCAGTCAGAGAGCAGCTTGGTGGCGAGCCTGACACCCTTCAGAAAGGAGGCCAAGACACAGTCCTGCCTTGTTGGCTGCAGGCCTGGGCAGCCTGGGCTGAGGATGTCTTGGGAAGTGTCTCTACCAAGGAGACAACGAGCCCCCAACCCAGGGGGGCCTCCAGATGAGGCAGCAGTTGAGAAAAACAAAGACACAAACGCTCAGAAATGGGGTTTTCAAGGGAACCAAATGCAAAAACCCACGGCCATCAAGCTGATTCCAATCCATCATGACGCCGTAGGACAGAGTAGAGTTGCCTCACAGGGTTGCCAAGGTTATAGTTCTTCATGGAAGCAGACAGCTCCATCTCGCTCCCATGGTTCGAACTGCTGACCTTTGGGCTAACAGTCCAACACTCAGCCCACTGTGTCTCCAGCGCTCTGTCCCAAGGGCCATGGGTTAGACAGGGCAGAAAGGCCAAGAGGGAGTCAAAGGGCCGGCAGCTCAAGCCTCTGCTCTCTGCTCACCCCGGAGGCCTCTGCTCTTACCTCCCCCCGTGCGACGGCGGAGGCGCTGAATGGCACCCTTTTCTTGCCTGTGACCCAGCTAGTGACACCAGGCTGCCGTGCTCAGGTGTGACCCACACAGGCGTGTGAGGCTGAGGACACAGGCACGCCATTCCCAACGGTGACAGAACTTCCCCCAAACGAGGAACAGCTCATGATAAAGTTCTGAATGAAAACCCAAACACCCAGAGGTTAGTTTCCGTTGAGTTGCATTTCTGAAAAACTCTCTGTCCATGGACCACCTCTCACATACTTTGTGTTGAGAAGTCTAAGAGAGCTGGGTTCTGGTTGAAATCATGAGAAACCGATTTTTTGTTGTTGTTGTTTTTTGAAAGTGAGTGAGAGAGTGTGAGTCAGGGAATGAGAGTGAGTGAATTAGAGTGAGATAGTGAGTGAGTGAGTGAGGGAGTGAGTGAGTCAGTGAATGAGAGTGAGAGAGTGAGTCAGTGAATGAGAGTGAGTGAGTGAGTGAGAGAGTGAGTCAGTGAATGAGAGTGAGTGAGTGAGTCAGTGAATGAGA